CTCAACCACCACCCCATCCCCGAACCCTTCCACCACCACTCACCTCCTTCCCAAAGGGCAATGTACTGCCCAGAGAAGAACACAGCCCCACAATCTTGGCCACCAGCGTGCGGAACGTCAGATATTCCTTGAGCACGACGCCGCGGAGAATTGTTTTCATCTCCGGGATGCCTGAGCCTGAGAAACACAAGACGATACCGTTTGGGATTCGTGTGAGCAAATGTAAGTATATTGCGACAACTATGGTCCAAAAAAAAAAATTATTTTTTTAATGCAGGTGTTTTTATGTGATAATGGTCATTAAGTGCGAGTAAGGAGAAATACATCTACACAATAATAAAGGTAATTTAGATCGACATAATAACTGTCACTTTGTGGACGACATCGAGACAATTCTTAATCGTTGTTTAGCTTACTTTACTTTACTTTTCCGATCCAGCGGCCGTCTGAGTTCGAGCCCTTTGGCCTGAGATTTGTTCTTTAGAAACGTTACTACCACAACAGTTTCTTTCTACTGAAACTTTGATGTCGACATCTTTGCTCTATTCAGCCACATTAGACGACCGTGAACCAAAAAAACCCCCCAAAAACGGCAACGACTCAGCCACCAATTTTTCCTCAGAATCCTATCTAAAAATCAGAGTGTGGTTAAAAAAATTTTTTTTTTAAATTAATAAATCTCCAGAACCCCTGTAAAATAACTATGGCAAATACACAAGTATTCTTAATACAATCGAAACTGTCTAAGATGGCCACTCATTGTCGAGGGAAAAAAAAGTAGCTGTGTTAGTTGGGTGGCTATCCGGCACAGAGTCATTATGATATGAGAAAAAAAAGCAAGGTAGGAAATAGGAAGTGGCAGTTGGTACAGATGATTGTCTTATACAGGTGGCCATTAGAGCAGGTTCCAGAGAACAAAAAACCAAATATATTTATTTTCAAATCATTTACGATAAGTTCTGTACGACTGATCCAAGAAATGGAATCTACGAAAAAATATTATTTTTGCAAATTCATATATGCATATATATGCCTCTTCGAAGGGCAAAGAATTTTTAAAAAAAAATAAAAAATGGAGGATTCTGATATAATTAATAGTTGTACTTGGCAGGACTCCCGACTCAACGTCCTATTTATATCACGTACCTATGGCCTGCGGAGAGACGAGGTGCGTGAATCCCACGGCAAACAGGATGAACAGCATGGAGTAGAGCACCCAGGCACAGTACTGGAGGCCCATGGAGAACTGCAGCTCATCATACAGCCAGAACTTGGCTACAGACATAACAAATGGTGATAATGGAAATGATAATAGTAATAAAAATAATAGTAATCATAATAATAGTAAT